AGGGGAATAAAACCTGCGACCCGATCCGGAAGGGCGGGTCGTGTTATAAACCGGATTCTTTGATACGACATGCGAGCTTTGCGTTTAGCTCGTACTGGGCCCAGTTTAAGAAGGTTGGTGGAACCTGTTACTTCAATGGCCTTGCTACTCAGACCATCCAGGATCCAAGTAAGTTAAATCTTTTACCTTTTTGCTAATTTTATATATATTCAATTTTTGTTTTCGTGAGAATACATGTGTTTAATTGAACCACGATTTTATATTTCAACTAAATTCATCTATTTTAAAATTTGTAATATTATAAGTTTAGTCCTGTGTCTAAACTCTTAAAATTGTCTTTAATGTAGACTTTTAAATTTTAATAAGACTCCAATAAACATTAGTAATTGTCCAATAAGCATGTGGATTTAAAAATCGATTAAAAAAAGTTTCTCATAATCATAAAATTCTTAGTTTTAGGAATTCATCAAGTACAAAATTGAAGGTTATCCAAGATTGGTCCAGTGTGAGGGCCAACGTAAATAGAAGTAAATAGAAAAAACGTAAAGCGTATGAAAGGCATTGATGTGAAAATTTTTAGGATTTTTTTTTTAATATACAACATGTGGGGTTGGGGATCGAACTCATGTCCTCTTAATTGAATATATATGTTAATTATTGTTGAGTATAATACAAATTTTTTTTTCATCCATATAAATGAATTTTATTTTATTTTATTTTTCAGGCTATGGAAAGTGCAAGTTCCCGAGTGTGACACTGCAAGGATGACGACGTGATTGCCAAATATTTAGTTATATTTTCGTTTATAATAAAATTTTAATTTCATTGTTGAATTAGGAGGGTGGTTTGGGCATCCCATTTCCATTTTTACAAAAAAGAAAATTAACAAGGGGCTGATTTGCAAAAATAACCTAATTAAATGGAGCTTGAAGGTTTAGAAAAAAAAAACAGAAAGAAAAGAAAAGGGCTGGTTTTTATTATTTTGGAAAAGTGGATTATTTTATTTTGTTGGGAGTGGGGTGGAATGAAATGGGCGCCCAAATCACTTTGCCAATTTTTTGATGTATCATTTGACTAATTCCACTCTCTCTTTGGTGCACTGTCTATTTCATGACTCGTCTTTTCAACGCGTCTAGACCGAGACTTTTTCAACGGCCATTTTTAAGTCATCCCAACGGCTACTTTTTTTTTATTTTTTTAATTTCTTTTAATTTTTTAGCCAAATTTTATTTTTAATTAAGAAAAAAATTTTACCCATTTTTAATTAAGAGATTACATTACAAAAAATTCACCTATTTTTTTCTCAAAAAAAAAAAATTATTAAGAAATTACATTACATACCGAAAACTTTTTATATGTATGTTAATAAAATATCAATAGTTTCATTTTCTTTTGTCAAAAGTACTCTAATGTGATTTTTATTTAATTCATCTTGTCAGATTATTGATGGTATTATGCTACTTTAACTTTCTACTGTATTCAAAAATTTATATTTATTTTATGCTCTATAACAATGAGAGAGTAATCTTTAGGAGGAAAAACTATAAATTAACAACACTAGAATTATAAAATAAAATAAAATAAAAAGAACTAACAACACTATTGCTTCTTTAAATTGATATCATTTAATTTTCATATTTAGTTTATCGATGAAACGAACCAATTTGTATTTGAAAAGCTAAATAAATAAACTTAAATATTTGGTTTTTAGATATTAAATTTAAGGTTTAAAATGTTGATATTGATGAGATTTTAAATGTCTCCGTTAAATTTTGATATTGAAAGACATATRAAACTGAGTTTCAAGAAGTCATGACTTTTTGAAATGTTTCTAAATAATCCTTAAACTTTTTTAGGAAGACTCACACCAGTATAAAAGAAATCAATAATTTCGAATATAAATTACAAGACGGTTTTAAAAAGTAGTCATATGATTATTCAAAGCACCCATCAATTGTGGCCAAAAGGGGTCTAAAATTAATAATGAGAAAATATGTAATTTTCAACCCTGCCATAATATTCCTATCAAATACTTATGGACCATATACGTAAAATGTCATAGAGTTGTCATTCAATGGAGGACCATGTTGTTCTTTTTCCTTTCATAAATCAATAGATTGCACCGGTGCTTTTGAGTGCCCCTAACCTCGAGGGGGTCGTAGATCGGGTTCTGGGACCCGATAAAAATTAGTCTTAATTCAAAAAGACAATAATCTATGTGTAATCCGCATTTCATTACTTTCCATGCATAGAAATACAAAACTGGACCAAAATACAAAAAAAAAAATGGCAGATATATGATCAGGCCTTATTTGATTGGCATCCAAAGACGAGGCATATTATATTATGAGAGATAAGTTGGATGTTGTTGATGGGTTTCGTTTATTCAGTAGGGCAAGGGAGGGTAGGAGAGCAAGCCCGATTGTAGGAAGTGACTGGAACATGCATGAATCTCCTCCCCTTAACCAAATGGCAAAACAGAGATGGCTTGACCGTGTCACATTTTAGAAGTTGAGTATAATCTAACTCCGCTGCTGCCACTTCTTGAGTCGCAACCACCATGCCGATAACAACCAAACATATCACCCACGACTTCATCTTCCCTTCTCCTTTATTTGCTAAAACTCTCTCTTCCTCCTCGTCTTCCTCCTGCTTCTGATGCTTATTGATGGATGATTTCTCCTTTCTTCTTCATCCCTTTATTTATAGTGTAATCATCGGAAAATAGGTTTGAGGGATTGCCTATATTTGGAGATCTAAAATTAGTGGGCCGTTGTACAAGAATATGGCTAATTAAGGATTTTCTTTTTTTTTTTTTTTCTTTCGTGGATTTACTAAAAATAGACCCATCTAATTTATGATTTACCATATTTGCAAAGTTTGATGGGGAGGAGGCACAATTATATCATGTAGCGGTAGAAAAATATGATGAGGATATGGTACTTAACTATTTTTTATTCATGATAAAATCTACAAACCCGATTGCGACCAAAGCTTTAAAGTGGTTTATTTTGTAAACAATGACGGGACGGGAGTTCTCGAGAGTTTGATGGATGTTTTGAAAGAATAGACAGATTTCGATACGACGTAACTCATTTTCTATTAAATCTCCAAATTATCTAATCAGGTCAATCCATTGTATAATAAAAAATTTTAATGTTACCTAATAGAACTCAAAATTAATATAAATAAATATAAAAATGCAATGACATGCAAAATTAAGTAGTAAATCTAAATTTAATTAAAACCTCAAATTTCCTTGGGCCAAGTAAAATACTAAATATAGAAAGAAGTTTTCATAAATTTAGGAAGGAAAAAATCTCTAGTGGCTTGAATTTCTAAACACCTTCATTAATTTTCATTGACTTTTCATTTGCAGAAATCTCATCACTATTTTTTTTTTCTGTTAAAACAAGATTTTAAATAAATGGAGCAAATTAAAATCTCTTGGCACGAAGTTGCTTATCAATCTTATAGTACACTATCCTCAGTGAAGTTTTTGTATTTTGTATTTTGTTTTTAATTTTGAAAAAGAATAATCTATCATATCTATGTATCTTTTATTAATTAATGTTKTCCACCAAAGAATAATCTTAMGAAATCTGCCATCAATGTTTTCAAATCTCTCTCCATTCTAGTCRAGTCGAGTATAGCTCAAATGATTAAGACACCTATCTCTCAATATCTCTCTCCACTCTAATGGTTTGTTTGGTTTGGTTTCATTTGGAGTGATTTCAAATAATTTTGYKGTTTGTACCAAAGAAAATGAATATAATTGAAATCATGTCATATTTTAATTTTTCAATTAATAAAGTAAATTTTTTATTTTATTTTGTTTTGCAACTAACCTTCCAATAAAAAAAATTTAGTTACATTCGTTTAAAACTCATCTTCATTTCAAATAAGATACGAATTTTTTCTTCGTTAACGGCTTAGTCCATTAACTTTTAACGTTAATAGTTTAGTCACTTGACTTTTAAATTTGTAATAATTTAGTCCATATTACTAAAATTCTCATTTTTGCAGGGGCATGTTTTGTATAAATTATATATAATGTAGGTTAGGTTATGTATTAGTATAGTCTGCATTTCATTTTCCTCCTTGTTATTTTAACTAAAAAAATAAATAAATCTGATTCATTGCTTGAATTCATGAAATTGGGTATTCTTGATGTTGTATGTGATTGAATTAATTAGACAAATTACTCTGYTTTTATTATTTAATTTGATTCATCGCTCGAGTACATGAAATTGGATTATATTCTTGGTGTTGCATGTGATTGAATTAATTAGTGACTAAATTGTTACTTAAGTTGAGAGACCAAATGTGTTTTTAACCAAAAATTTAAAAGTTGGAATTTAGAATTGCGTTATTTTAAATATTTCTCGAACTTTTTTTTATGCTAAATAGAGGGTAAATTAGTTGAATTGCTGCTTAAATATTTTAGAGAATTCAAAATAAGAGATTTTTCTATTTGTTTTTCAATGCAACAATTACAATTAAAAAGAGTAAACAATGGTGGGGAGACATAATTTTTTTTTCCTTAATAAAGAATGAAACTTCAAACCAATACATTGGTGAGTTGGATTTTAAATTTTTATTTCCTGGTTTAAACTCAACCCTACCTTTAATACAAATCAGGTTTATTGAACTGAAAAAAYAAACCTTTGAAACATAATAKACTCCAAATATAAACGTTAACATTTGTCATYGTCCTTTTTTAATGGACTTATTCTTTTCATTATAGATCAATAGGAAGAGATTTGATCAACATCGCGTTGAATAGCATCAGTCTCGACGGCATCGGTGAGTCGAAGAACAGCCACGACCATAAGGATTAGCAGGAGCACGTGGAGAATTCATAGCTTCAGGTGAAGGACAACCGGGAGGTTTATCAACTCCAGGTGGCGTATTACATGTATCTAGGTTAAGATGTTTAATTTCTGGCGTCTCTCCTTGACTCAACATCACCATGCTAATTACGACCAAACATATCAACCACGACTTCATCTCGAAAACTTCTCTGCACCTTCATAATTGCTTATTATTTCTCTCCCTATTTATTAGTTTTTGTGTGGGTTTGCAAGAGAAATCTTTGCTTCTTTTTTCTCTCCCATCCCTATTAAGGCTTGTCTAAAATTGGCCCAAAATTGGACAACTTTTGTGGTGGTTCCTTCTTTTGAGTGAATTTTGTTGTTGCAATGTAACCAAGCAACATTAGAGAATGGAAAGAACCATTTTTAATTTTCTTTCTCATATATTCTTTTAGAACATCTCGTCTTAATTATTAAAAAAATTAGCAAATATTATTGTTCAAAGAATTTTTCTAAATAAATAGGCAGATATAATTGAATTAATTATGTTTGATATATTGACTAACCACAATTTAAAAAAAAAAACAAATGTATAGGAAGAAAACAAATTTCTTTTCAAAAAAAAAAAGGTGCCAATTTTTGAATGATAATAAGTAAGAAAATACCTATATAAGTATATAAATATTATTCCCTTATTAATTAGGCTATCTGTCCATTAATTTGTTCCAATTAAATTATATTACATCATATCATTCCCATTCAAATTTTACTAAATTTTTKTTTAAAAGCGTAGAAAGCTATTATTAAATTTTAAAACATAATTTAGAAAAATAACACAATAATTATTAGAGACACATCTTATAATTACAAATATGAGACAGGAATTTCGCATCCATAATTTTGCACCTAAATGTTATTTGGTTAAATTACAAATTTACTTTACTATTAAATTTTAAAATCTTTCGATAATTGTCATTTTAATCTTCTATTTTTTGTTCCCAATATGGRAAGCTCTGGTTTCTCTAATTTGAATTCCTCTCATTTAAGAGAATCGAAAGAAGAAAATATAGTAATAATCTTAGTTTCTCTTCTATTTTARGAGAAGATATCCCAGTGATCCCAGGTTTTCACGTCTATAAATAGAGATAAAATACTTGGTTTCGTGAAATCATTCTTATTGATGCAAATTTGGTAATTCTGATACATYAAATTTATGCATCAACAATTATAATATAAATTTCTATCATCTGAATTCACACAACGYTMTTTATTTTATCTCATTCAACTCACTTAATCCTACCGTCCATTAAATTTATCAGGTCAAATTAACTCATCACGCGAAAGGTTTTAAGAATATGTTGATACACTGAATTTGTAATTTAAACTATTTGAGTAAGATGGTATGCTACTRGAATATCCCTCTTTTTTTTTCCCCTAAAACTTAAAAGAGGAGATTGCCGAATATTCCCATTCAAAATTCCTTCTTCCACATTCTTCTTTTGAATTTTTTTTTTTAAATAATAAGAATAAGAATAAGAATAATTCTTCCAATCATAATTCCTCTTTATATATAATAAGCAAAAAACGGCATCGAAAATCAGTAAGCAAAATGGCGGCTCCTCTTCGAGCTAAACGGCTCGCCGAAGCGGATCAGTGGCGCCGCCACGCGCCTCCGAGATCCGGCGGCAGCAGCGGAAGCGAACACTCCGCCGACGATTGTCTTTCCGAGCTGGTGCTCGATTTTTTGGAAGACGGCTGCCGGAGTCCATCGCCGCCGGAAGCGGAGGATTGTTGTTCCGACGCGGCGGAGGTCGATGTTGTAGCGGCCGATTGTACGGAGGTCGTCGGCGAAATCCGGAATATTGTAAAGCCCGTGAACGGCGGCTATGTTGAGCCGTACAGAGAGCTGCTTGTGGCTAATGTTTGGGAAGCGGCGGAAATGGCTTCGTCGGACGGCGTCGTTTCGCGGCGGAGGCTCGTGACTTTCCTCCGCGAATTCCACCATAATRCGGCTATTTGCAAGACGAAGTGGGGAAACTCCGGCGATTTCGCCGCCGGCGACTACGAGTTCATCGACGTCGTCAACGGGAACCTCCGGTAATACGAAATTTTTCTCTTCTTCTAAAATTTTGGTTAAATTACATATTTTCTCTCAATTTTGTATTTAGTATTTGAATTTAAAATTTTTTAGTAAGTCCATAACCAGTTTTTTATATACTTTTAAAAATTTTGTATTATAYCTTTCCATTGTTTATTTTGTTTTTAATAGGTCTGTAGTATTAATTAATTCATAACACATCAATGGTGATAATTTAATAATCTATGTGGTAGATTAATTTTGGGAGTAATCTTTAAATTATATTCTTATCCAACCACATGAATATTCAACCAATGAAATTAAGAATAGAGACTTAATAGACATTAAAAAAAAATTTAAACACATGAGTAAAAAGGCACAACCTTAAAAATTCAAGTTTGATCTAAATTTTGTTACCAACATGAGTATAGCTTGAAGCATATTCTTGCTCTCGTATAGTTAGTTGGAGGTTCAATCCCATGTCTCCACATTTGTCGATTGTTGGAATAATTTTGATTGAACTCATTTGTTCTACAAGGTACTTGATTGATGTCAACTTTCGTGCCCAATTCGAGATTGCGAGGGCAACGATCCACTATTCAGAGTTATTGAAATGTCTACCTACGATTTTCATCGGGACGCCAACAGAGCTAAAAAGGATCGTAAGGATCATGTGTGATGCAGTAAAGAGATCGCTCAATCAAACAAAGCTTTCAATGCCTCCATGGAGGAAGAATAATTACATGGTGAAGAAATGGTTGGGGTCATATCGTCGAACTACAAATCCAGTTCCCGATAAGATGTCGGTGTCGAATACTTCACTTGGTTCATCGGTGAAATGTAGGTGGCTTGGATTTGACATCGTCATCTCTGATGTGGAGGTAAATGACTGTGCTTTTGTTTGCTGAAGATCGATCAAGACAATCTAGAGACAACAATTAAAGGAAAAAAGTAGCAATATTACTATTAGCTCCACCRCTAAATTTTTGACAAATAGGAGTATGGATCGAGGATAGAAAGGAAGAGAGAAAAATTATATTTTTGCAAAAAAAAAATTTTAAGTTAGTAGGTAAGTATTATTCTTTATTTGGTCTTGAGTTTTAAAAACTCGGATACTAAATAAAGTATGAGTCAAATTTGTCGTGCTTACGTGGAATATGTTTGTTTAAATGTTCAAATATGTCCACTGTTCAACTGYCATTTTCAATATAATATTGGTTGTGGTACCAATTTTACCCAATTAAATATATGAAAGAATAAAAAGAATATATATTTTGAACATATACGAGTAGTTGATATGCGAGAGTAGCCACGTTTAATAATTTTTCATCATTTCTGAATTATCATTAAATATTAATTTATTTATAGTTTTTGTTGGTATCCTTTAAACCTTTATATTAATGTCATTTTAATTTTAAGATATTGTTTTATTCAAGAAGTATAAAGTTAGAGTTTGCTCCTTTTTTCTTTTTTTTAAGAGTAAAATAAGCAAGAAAGGAAACCTAACAAGTGGCAGCCAGAGCCAAACGAGTAAGAGCATCAACAACCTTATTCATTTAAATCTAAAGCACAGGGAGTCCAAATGCTTGGAAAAAAAATTATGTTCGTAATTATTTTTTGGTGGTTGTACTYTCAAAACGTCTATTTTGATTCATCTACTTCCAACTTTTGTTAATTTTAGTCCATGTACTATCGAAATGTTCTTCTTGGTTYGTGAACTTTTGAAAGGTAACCATTTTGGTATTTTCATTTTTAKTTTTATCTCATTTTTTTCAATCAAAATTTCAATATTACACTTCATTTACTAATTTTTTTTTTAAATGKAGCAATAAATTTGTATTGAAGAGTTTCTTTTGTGTATATAATTTTTGTTAAATTTTGTCAAATAAAGATCAAAATGGTCACTTATTTTAAGTACATTAACTAAAATTTTTAAAAATTCATGACCAAAATAAACAAAAGTATAGGGACAAAAATGTAAAATCATTAAAGCTGAAAGTTGACCGAGGAACTATAGAATTTTTATATGGGCCTAAAAGCCCACTCACTCCTGGCCTAAATCCGCAAATACCGGCCCATTTTATCGAACCCCTTGTTGGGCTCGTGAAGGTTACGTGAACTGGAAGAAACCGCCCCAAATTTTGTGAACAAAAAGAGAGAGAGAGAGAGAGAGAGAATTCCCCCGCTAAAATTCGGCACGATCGTCGAAAATGGCGCGGACGCGGGTGAAGGATCAATCGATTCTTCACTTCACTGCAAGAAATGGAATCGAAAACGAAACACCCATTTATTCTTACGTCGGGGGTCTTTCTCAATTTTCACCGCTGAAATCGCCACGCCGTAGAATGAACACCGGTCAAGATTCTCCATTATTTTCATCTCTATGTCGTTCTGATTCCTTCTGCTTGATTCCTACTTCTGATATTCATAAATTGCGATCGGAAACCCTAACAATGAAGACGGAGCCAGGGTTAKACTTCGATTCTTCTCACTTGCGGAGTCCCTCTGAAACGACGTAATCTCTCAATCATGAGCATCCCGGTATATGGAAATCATAATCCCTATATCCAATACTGCGCTTCTGCACCTGCCCAACCCGGGAAAAGTTTGCCTTCTTTAACCCTACTCTCCACCATAGTCTTTGTAGTGATTTAGGGTTCTAATTTGTTTTTAAATTTTTGGATCATGTTCTGTAGAAGATAAGATCCGGGGAGCGTTGGGTCGCTGCGGGAAGATGTTGGAAGAGTATGGTAAAATTGCAGAGGAAGCTGCGGACGACGTCTTGCATCACAGTAAGTTTTTCCCTCGATCAATTTTTCTTTTCGATTTAATCATTTGCTTTCTGCAAGAAGATTATTTCTTCTTTCATGCCTAATATATCGTGCAGTAGTTTTCTTTGTGTTCAAATTTTCATAACTAGCCCTTTTTMTTGCATTTGATTTGGTAAAGCTTTGAATAAATCGATTCTAATATTGAAATAGTTCATACTGGATTGGTTTTTTTAAGTGAACTTGGCGATACCGAACATGTTAAATTGGCCATGTTTATAATAACGGATAATATCTCTAGATAGTGGGGGCRTAGCTTAGAACTGAACTGACAAACATGTAAAATGAGATTTGTTTTTTTTTTTTAGGGCTGCTAATGTTCTATCTCGTTTCCTGCCCTTGTCTAGAATAATGAAGCCTAGAATGTTGCCTCTTTCTTGCTTGATTTGATAACTCTTAATATGCCGTACCTGTTTTGAYATCAGTAAAAGTCAGCCCGAGCATTGGCGATGCAGCAAAGGCTAGGCTTATTCAAGGGACGAAATTAGTCACCGAAGGAGGCCCAGAAAARTTATTCCAGCATACATTTGGTGTTATTCCTGGAGACAAATATTTGCATTCATATGCTTGCTATTTGTCAACTTCTTCTGGGCCTGTGAATGGGACTCTTTACATATCCACCAAAAGAGTGGCTTTTGGTAGTGAATCACCTCTCTGTTACTCTTCATCTCCTGGTCAGCCAGAGTGGATGTATTACAAGGTATGTTCAACCCGTTACTATTTCTAATATATCCGAAATCAAAATATTTGTTAATCTTATATTAGTATTTAGTTATTGTAGCCTYTCACATTTTTTACCATTGACTTTAGAAAGCCATTCCTTCTGGCTTAGTTATTGTAGCCTGTATTATAAGCATGTGAATGTGTGTTCTAGGACATTGTGAATGGTAATATGAGTGTGACAACAACTTGACATTAATTGTTTATTTTCATTTTGACAAGAGCACAATTGGCTATATAGGATAGGAACCCCGAATCCTTGAGAAAAAACATTGACCTCAGCTGTTACTGTTAAGATAAATTTCACGTTTTTCCCATGAGATTCATTTTGACTCTCTCTCTACAGTGGACTAACAGGTTAAATTTGTTTATCCATATTAGTGGACTGAATCAGTTCTCCTTTACTAAATACTTCTTTCATTGGAGATTCAAAATTTTTTTGTAAGGATGGTGAAAATTTGACTTCTAWTTATAATCTTTCAATTATAAAAAATTAGGGGCAAATTAGTAGGAAAGTTTCAAAACCTTATTCTTTTTATATGATTTCTTGAGTTTAAGATAAACTAAAGGAGGTAATTGCCCTCTCTCCTTCTTTGCTCCGACCTTGAGGGGTAGTAGGGAAAGGAAAACTAGGCCATGTGGGGAGTTATAATGGTAAGATTTTTAAGTACTTGTTGATCATGGAAACATTTTAGGAAATAAGCAGGAGGAACAAATTTTATCACAACAAAAGGCCTCCCGAGTCTTGCTTAGCTACTCCAGGAACAACACTGTTCCAGATAATATTGCACATGTTAGAATTTGATTTATCCTACATTTCTTCTCAGGCCTCTGAACACTGAACTTTAACTAATGGAATGCTGGCAAAATGAATCATTAGCTTAGCTATGTGCCTTTTTAGTATTTTACTTTGACTGTGGAACTTCTGCTGTTTTCAAGTTGGGCCTTCTCTTATATGTATATCAATTTGTAGGTGGTGATAGAGCTCAACCAGGTGGCAATGATCAACCCGTCTCCAAACCTTCTCAACCCATCAGAAAAAGACATCCACATAGTCACGAGGGACGGTCACGAATTCTGGTTCATGGGATTTATATGTTTCAGCCGGGCCTTAAAGAGTTTAAACGAGGCGTTAAAGCATGCCCATGCCTAGTTCAGACGAGCCCWAATTGTCTCAGTGTTTGCCTCCTCTTCTCTCCATCCTATGCCTATTTAAAACAATAACTTGGTCTTGTACTTTAGAATGCTTGCGTTGGTTCTAAAATGTGAAGGTTTTTCTTCACATATGTTTTCCTCTTCTAATAAAATTTTGCAGTTTATTGGATATGTAATTATTTATGCTTAAGAAGTTGTGTTTCTCTATGCTGATGAWAATAAATAATGGATGGTTTGGGTTGAATGAATATCAGCAATTCTTTGCAGATTCTGCAGAAATATGATCCTTTCTGGACTTGTGATTGATAATTTGTTCTAAAATGGTGGATGATTCCCTTTCAAATTTGAGGGGTTTTGTTTTTGGATATGGAAATGGGGATTGCTTCCCCCATTTTAATATTATTATTATTTGAAATTTTGAACTAATTCTGTTAAGAAAACTACACGTTTGATCCTAAAACATTAGGCCATTGAACTTCTAATTTCTAATTTTTTTT